GTGATTTTTAGAATTGAAATTTCAATTCGAAAAACTCACGTGAATTATTTACACGTGAAAGCGTATAGAAAAATGTATTCTTACATTTATACGCATTTTTAAAATATTTTAAAACTATCGGGTCGTATTGGCCTTTTCACTCTTAGTTTCAATTTTCACGAGCCTTCCCTATTCATTCGGTTGAAAAATATTTTAAGTTATTAAATAGTAATTTTTAAATATTTTCTGTTTTTTGCAATAAAAAACACAAAAAATGCACAACAATGTGTTACACTTTTGTTATTTATTTACTGTACTCTATGAGTCTTTTTACAAAAATACATTTCGAAAACTTGAATTTTAGATGAATGTCAGCACGAACTATCTCAAAACTGCTATAAATTTTTTACAATTTAAAAGAAAGAAATTGATGCAGTCGTTACGAACACATGACATCACTTTGGAGTAAGTCTTTTTATGGTTTTTTGAAGTATATGTAATATATATTAAGAATGGAAAACATAATGTGAAAATGTATATCTAAATTAAAAACTTCATAATACTTTTCTTTTTATATAATAAATGGGACGTCGACTCGACTTTAATACAACCGTACTAAACTCCCGTTTTACATAAAATTGGTAAAGTTTGTAAATTATTAAACAATATGAATATTCTAAATTATGAGATATATTAGTAATCTATTTTGTCTCTTATTCTGTAGTCGTTCTAACTATGGCGATACGCAAACCAATATATGATTCCAATCGAAGGTAAATACTCTTACTTGTGACAATTTACGACAAGAATTCTTTTGTAAAACGAGTTTTTAATATAATATTTTGTAGATATATGAATTATGCAACTTTGGGCAGCATACTTGCGTATGAAATTAATATGGTTTTAATTGAGAAACGTAAGTAAAAATTTCTTAAGTTCTTTTTGACGATGAGAAATATCGTAATATAATATAATTCTTTACAGCTCCTAGTTACAGTAAGGACTTTTTTATTACAGATATTTCGCCGTTTACCAAGAATTTTGTCTTTAATAACAAAAAGCAATGTTTTATTGATACCTGTAGAAATTTATATCCGAATAATCAAATGTTGTGTCAAGGAGTAAGTAAAAAATCACAAACAGGGTGACCCTAACAAACCTAAGCACTGTCTAGCTAAAAATTTTGGAATTTTTGCAATATTTAAAGAACTCAAGTATTTCAAAAAATAAAAAAAAACATTTACAGAAACAAGAAGTCTTTTAATAAGTGTTAAAAAAACAGTTAGGTATAATTGTTCTATGAGGTTGGTAAGCTATATATAATTGTTGAATTTTTCTAGATAATCATAAACCAAAGACTAAACCACAATATGGCTAATGCTGCTGGAATTTTGGTTGCATATTACGCATATAAAAAGAAAAACCCGGAGCAAAATGAAGACAATATATATCAAAAAAGTATCAAAAATATGACCGAAGACCAAAAATTTTTTGTTGATTATGCGCGTGTAAGTATTTCATTAAATGTTATAAAACAAGATATGTGCAAAAATGACTTTTACGGCCGATGAAATTACGTTGACAGAGTATAAATAGTAGTAATAAATTTTTTGGTTTTTAGATGATGTGCGAATATATACCGCTGGACAAAGTGGAACTGTATATAAAAGAATTTGGTACTAATG